ACATCAATCTTATAAATTTGGCTGCTGTACAATTTGCAACTTAAAATTACATGCAAATTCAGATTTCCAACGAATCAAATTGATTGCGATTCTTCTGGCCTCTTGTTGAATGTAAATACTGTTACTAAACAGAATATAAACTTCACTTAACCTAAGTATTAAAAATGTTGCCAATTTCTGTCCTACAATAAACAAAAATCTAAAGAAATTGTGAAGTGTAAAAAAATATGCTCTCCCTTTAAATTTTGCTCTGGAAGTCTACAAATAATTTCACTGCGAATAATAATAAAAAATTCACATATTTGAAGACTCCGAATTTTCAGAAAATCTGATTTCTTTGAACTCAGGAGACTTTGTTTACTATCCGATTAATCGGATTCTCCGAATACTTCGTGAAACCGAACAGCACCAGTTTATACGCATCAACATACACGAGTTCTTATCTGTTTCTTTAGTTGCATAATTTCGTAATTTATTCGGAAGGATCTTTTCTTCAAAGGTGTATCGCTCTTTCTACTAATTTTGGTCAATTAGTACCAATCAATTTCATAACTAAAGAAACACAATTTACTGGAGTTGTTACTTTTATCTAACAGAAATAAGTGCACAAACATCAAAGAGAAAAGTGGACAAAACTTGAAACTACATTTCAAAAAAATTTTTCAAAAATGATTCTAAATGAATCGTGCTTTCAAGATAAATGACATTTCAGACTTCCTTGTCAATTTTTTTGAAGAAAACTCTATAAATAAAATCAAAGAGCTTTTTTATTCAGCTCTGCCTTTAACTTTCATTAAAATAATTTAAGGTCCTGTTTATATCCACTTTTTTTAGAACAACCAACATTTTTAAAGTATTTATCTTTAAAAGTAATATACGATTTTGCAAACAAAATCCGGATACTTTTTGAGCAGGGAGTATACTAATTGTACTAATTCCGACATTAACGAAAATAAAACATTACTATAATGACGTTATTGTGATCGGAAACTGCAATGGCACAATTAGATGTGAACAATGCCTTCTCTACAGGACAACATCATTCTTTTATGAGCATAATTCGTGCAAATCGCGAGAACTGAAATAAAAATAAGAAGAAGACTTATTAGGAGTCACAAAAAATTCAATATAAAAATTTTGAGCAAATATATGACGACTACATAAATGGAAATATATTAACATTATAATTATCACCATCAATAACTTGGTATATATATTCATATATATTTGAATCTAATTAAAATTATAATTTAAATTTTAAATAAATACCAAGCAAATTGAGTCACATTAAATACCATTATGTACTAATTCCCGAGATCTCAAACAAAAATATCAAGAAAACTTATTAGGAGTCAAAAAAAATTCAATACAAAAATCTTGAGCAAATATATCACGATCACAAAAATGGATATACATTAACATTATAATTATCTCCACAAATAATGCGGTATATATATTTATAAACATTTCAATCTAATGAGAATTACAATTATAGTTTTGGCAGAAAGTATGCATAAAGATTTTATGAAAAGAATGCCAAATATAGCTGTACATACATACATATCTACCTACATGTATATATACCAGGGTTCAGAAAAACACTGTGCTGTGCACAAAAATGCAAAACACCACGCACAAATGTTGTGCGATTCTAAATAAAATTTCACACCACAAATGTGATGTGCGAAAATTTTTGTGCACATCTTAAGTGCCACATCTTGTGTGCACAAACGAAACGCACATTTCACACGAGTGTGGTGGAGTGAAATAAAACTCGCACACGCATTCGGTGTTTGTGTCGAAGTTATTTCGCACAGCACATTGTGTGTGCGGCAGCCAACTTGCCCTCGCACACAACGTGTGCAGAAAAGAATACGAGGAGCATATTTTGTGTGCAGACTCGAAAATAAAAATGCACCCAAATGTGCGGAGACGAAATGTCTACTGCACATTTGTGTGAAATGATGATTTAAAAAGCGCACAATATTATGACAAATATCACAGCAAAATAGTACGTAAAACTGATTTGTATTAATTTTGGTCTTAATACGAAATATTTTATTGAAGAAATGATTTTGTATTTATATTTTAATTTTGAATTTATTATTAGATTTACATTTATTGCTTATATTACTTATTATTTTAAGGTTTATTAATTTAAAACATGAGAATAAAGTTAATTTCACAATGTACTTGAAAACTTTGTTAAATTAAATAGGTACATGAATTTAATAGAGAAAGAGTATTTGTTTCGAAATGTTATAAGTAAAGAGGATCGGTTCTACGGATCGTACTTTGAAAAAATTAAATATATCAATTTTGGACTACTTCATAAAATTTTATTTAATAGTAAGTTGTACACTAAGATTCGTTAGTAAGGTTATAAAAAGCAAATTAAATATTTTTTACAACAACATAAATTAATTTTGTTATTAGATTTCACTTAATTTTTTATCTTTAATTACAGCTTAAATTTAACGAAGTTATTGAAATAATTTAATATCTTAATTTCTTATTAAAAAATATTTAATTTTAATTACATATTTTTTGAAATAAATTTTCATTTAATCTTATTAATAACATTGCTGAAATATTTTTTTCACTTAAATTATATCTTTGGTTACTTAGCACAGTAGAAAGGGCGCTAAAATCCTGCTACCTGTTCAAGAAAATATTTTCCTAATCTTTCGCGTTTTTTAATGAATGTTAGATACTCTACCTAAGTGAATACATATTTTTTGGGCATAAAAAAATCTTCCTAAAATATGTTTTTATTTTTTTTAAACTGGTGCAAAACTTTCCAAACAAATACTTTAAGTTCACTTACTATTTTTGCTTTTCTTCTTCATTCTTTTATAATTTCAACCCCGAAATTGCTTATGTCAAACACAAATGTCGAAAACAAAGAAAAATAAAAACGAAGAGCTATTACCTCCTCGCTTACTTTTTCAGCGCTGGCATAATGGTGCCGCTGGGTAGTTATAATATGACGCAAAAATTTTATTTGAATTCATATTTGCTGATTAATGAACAATTTATGGGTGTTATAGAATTATTATGTTAATAGTCAAATTATTTATAAATGTTCTTATAATTAGGTTTCGCAAAATAGTAAACTACAACAGCAAAAATTTCTTTACAATATTTTTAATTAATCTAATTCTTGGCTGACCATACAGCTGTTACGAGTATTGCCAAACACCTTTTTTTTTATTTAACAATATGTCTTTTTTGAATCGCTTTAAATTAAAGCCTAACAATAAGTTTTAGAATCTTAAAGACTAATAACTCTTAAATCGAAATGTATGTTTTCATTTCTGATATACCAGGGTGCACCAGTTATCATTCTTAAGATCTTTGCTTGAGCCTTCTGCAGGATTTCTACATTTGACGAACAGGCATTGCCATATAGCTGTAAACCATACATCCAGATTGGCTTAATGACTTGGATGTATAACAAGACTTTGTACTCTAAACATAAGGGAGACTGATGACCGATTTTCCAGCGAAAGCTTTGAGCTTCATTTGAGTCCTTTTTGTTTCAATATGCCTCCGCCAAGTTAAGCGTTTGTCAAGGTGTATACCAAGATACGTCACTGTTTCTGTTTGCGGAACTACTATTCCGTTGAGAGTGACAGTTGGTAATGAGGATCTGTTAAGAGAGAATATTATATGACGACATTTTTGCTCATTGACTTTAATTCGCCATAGTGATAACCAGCTTTCAATGGAGTACAAATGATTTTACAGTTGACTGGAAGCGATTGCGACATTCTTATGTCGGCACAAAATAGCGGTATCGTCAGCAAATGTTGATATTACTAAATTGGTATTTGTAGAAATATCTGAAGTAAAGATGAGGTACAAGAATGGACCAAGAACGCTGCCTTGTGGAACTCCTGCACTTAATGTAAAGTCATTAGTTGTGTGCATATTGTACTTTACATTAAAAGATCTGCCTATCAAGTATGATTGAAGTACTGCGTGTGAGTTTTGCGGAAGTACTTGTCGTATTTTGTGTGTCAGGCCCTCATGCCATACTTTGTCGAACGCTTGTATAACATCTAAAAAGGCACCAGAGCAATAATCTCGATTTTTAAAAGTACTTCTTATTTCGTTAGTTATTCTGTTCACTTGCTCGATAGTACCATGTTTTTGACGAAATTCAAATTGATGGTCTCTATCCAAGTCTCTATCTTGGAGGAAAGGCATAAGTTTTGCAAGGAACACTTTCTCAAATAATTTTGACAGACAAGGCAGCAAACCTATAGGTCTATATGATGCGGATAGTGTTGTATCCTTTCCGGGCTTTTGAACCATTATAATTAACGCTTTTTTTCCATTCCGTCGGGATATGTCCAAATTTTATTATGGCGTTAAAAATCTTTGTAATGAATGAGATTGCTACGAAAGGCATATTTTTTAACATAATTGGAGTTATAGAATTATGTCCAGGTGCTTTTTTGCAGACAAGTTTTTCTTTGATGGTTACCTTGATATCGTTTGCGGAGATTTGTAAGTTGATAATATTATTGTTAATGTGTTAAGTTGGTAAATTCAAATTATTGGAGGGATTTGATTGAAAAATTTGACTCAGATGATAAGCAAATACATTAGATTTTTTTCGTCGCTGCGAGCCCATTCACCGCTGGAATTTCTTAACATAGGCACCGCTTCAACAGGTGTTTTTATAGTTTGATGAGCATTCCAGAGTGATCCTTTGTTAGCCGTGTTTGGGGACAGCTTCTTAATATATTCGTTTTGTTTGTTTTCTTTGTCTCTTGCAAGAGCGCTCTTTAGTCGAAATTTTGTAATAAAAAATATTTTGATGGCATTGTAATATGTTAACTCAGTTTTGTTAGAACGTGCATCAAAGATGGACACTAGCAAAGAGAAAATACATCATATTTTACAGTTTTTCCTTGTTAAAGACGAAAACGCAAGCCAGTCAGCTGAAAATATAAATAGAGTTCATAATCCTGATATTGTGATAGCTAATCATGCGGAATTTTGGTTTTGTCGATTCCACTGCACCATGCAGTGGAAAGCTAATTGTAGAAAATGATAAAGGCATGGAAATTGTCGAGTCAGACCATCATATAAGTACTGTTTACTGTTCGATTGTCCAAGAGCAAAAGATTGCACAAAAAACCGTTTGGAACCATTTGAATAAGGCTGGATACAAAAAGATATTTGACCCCACGGACCGAATATTCATCGGCGAATCGGTGCTGAATCGCAACAAGATCGAAACATTTTTGAAGTGGTTAGTGACTGGTGATGAAAAGTGGATCATTTACGGTAACGTCAAGCGAAAACAATAATGGTAGAATCGCGATGAGTCTGCTGAAACAGTAGTGAAGCCATCGGCCAATGATGGCATTGACAGGAAGTGAACTACTACGCGGCAAAACTCTTAACTCGGAACTGTTCTTTCCGTCTGAACAATAAGGCCGTCTGAAGGATGCAATCGCCCACAAACGGTCAACTTTGAACAATAGGAGAGATTTTGTGCTTCATTAGAATAACAACAGGCCACACACATTGATAATGACTAGCCAGAAGCTTCAAGAGCTTTGTTGGGAAGTTCTTATGCATTCACCTTATAGTCCAAAGCTAGCACCAAACCTACCACCAGCTCCTGTCCTTAGCGAACGATTTTTCTAATTAAAATTTCGCTTGAAGAGTCTTGTTAAAAGACGACTGTCTTAATTTCTTGCCAATAAGAACGACGATTTCTATGAGAGAGGCTTAATGAAAATACCTTCAAAATAGCAACATAACAAAAAGAAAACCAAACCGTGTATAGTAACTATGGTAAATAAGTATTCAATAAATTAATAAATTTTTTGTTTCCATACGTATTATAAGTTTTAAAAAAAAATCCATTTCAGAAAAAATAAAAAATATGGCAAGCATATTCGTTTGTTTTCCACATCTTCAATCAGTTCTTTAATATTCGCATAATGTCCAAATCTAAAGACTTACCTTAGTATTCCTATATAATTTATAAATTTCTATACTACTATTATTATTTTTTTCTTTTTTTTCAGGAACTTAAAGCAGAATGTCCATCTCAATAATATTAATAATTGATATATATTTTTTGAGTCGTATAGATGAGATGTTGGAGATTAACAGCCGTTTTGTTATCCTATATTTTCTATATTTTGTAACCTTTTACGCACAAGGCTCAGGTCCTTTGAACAATGTCGAAATCTGCCAAGTATTTTTTCTTTTATGTTTATTTGTTTGAATTGTGTCAAGCAAACTTTTGACTTATGGAAACATCGGATCCAAAGTAAGAAGTTTAAGGTCATTATTATTAGATATAAATTCAGTATTAATTGCTAATTGAATTTTTGTTCTATATTTTAATATATTTGTGAATAGATTTAAAGCTTAAACATTTAATTCATACCACCGAAGGCTTCACCTAAGTACAATATAAGATGCTTCAAAGACAGTACCATCAAAAAAATGGATTCATCAATTTTATTTACATATACATATAATTTACTAAACACTTACCTAAGTTCTCTGTAAATCCCATATTTATTCATTTAATATAAGATATTTGTATTAATAACTTTTTTAGCACAGGTTTGATACACACTTCTAGGTAGTTGAACCAAAAATGGCAACCTTTAAGTTTTTAATTTTAAACTTTCTTTGTTTTTTTAAATACTTAACATTAACTTATCACTAATTACATTATATTACAATTTTTATTTTAACTATACATTGTATATAATATAATGAAATAAAATAAGTAAACCTTGTTATATCACGAACCTCACTTAGATCAATGGGAATGCAGTTAAACTTTATCAGAATACGGCTCTTTTTAGGTGGGAAGTAATGAATAGAAGTGCGATATTCCTTGCTAAGGGGTTAACATGTTCTGTCAGCCTAGCCTTTTATTGTATTTTATTCTAATATAGTCAAATTCAGCTTTAAATAGGGAAATTCGTAGATTTCGGTGGTTACTTTCATTCCTAATATGATTGTTCTCAGATTTGACTGAGTTCTTTGGATAATTTGAATATTTGCAACACGCACTAGCATTACCAAATAGCTGGATACCATAAGTCCACATAGGTTTTGTGATGCTGGTATAGAAGAGTACTTTATACTCTAGGCAAAGGGAAAATCTGCTATTAATGAGCCATGGCAACTAAGAGGCTTGGAGCTTCATCTGAATTTTTTTGGTTTCAACATGTTTGCACCAAGTTAGTCGTCTGTCTAGATGAATACCTAAATACGTTATATTATCTGCTTGTGGTATGGGAATGTTATTCAGTAAAATCATTGGAGATGTACTCCGATTTAAAGCAAAAATGATATGTCTACATTTTAGTTCATTAATTTTAATTTGCCATTTTAACAACCATTTCTCCACCTGAAATAAGTGAGACTGAAGTTGGTTTGAAGGTAGTACAACGTTTTTGTTTCGACATAAAATTGTCGTATCATCGGCAAACGTTATGGTGACAACTCAACTATTTATTGGGATATCAGATGTGTAAGATGCATACAAGGTAGGGCCAAGAACGTTTCTTTGAGGAACGTCAGATTCTATTGGAAAATTAGTAGAAGTAAAGGATTTACATTTAACATTATAGCTTCTGTTATACAGATATGATTCTAAAACTGAGTGAACATTTGAAGGTAAAGAACCGCGTATCTTATATAGGAGCCCATTATGCCATACTTTGTCAAAGGCCTGTTTAACATGGAGAAATACCGCGCAACCATATTCTCTGAGCTCAAATACGTGTCTTATTTCGTTCGTTATATGAATAACTTGCTCAGTAGTTTCATGTTTTTCACTAAAACCAAACTGGTGGGAGGGTATTAGGTTTTGACTGTTACAAGGAATGGTTTCAGCTTTAAAAGCAGTGCACTTTCAAAAAGTTGAGAAAGCCATGGCAGTAATCTTATTGGCCTATATGAAGAGGCAAGCGTGGGATCTTTACCTGATTCATGAATCATAATAATCACGTTGGGTAAAAGCCAAATTTAATAATGGCATTGAAAAATCTTGTAATTAAATTTATTGTCAAAAGGGGTAAGTTTTTTTTTATCATGATGGGTGAGATATTATCATATCCTGATGCGTTTTTGCAATCAAACTTGTTTGTAATTATTTGAACAAGATCATTGGCCGTAATTTTTATGTCAATAGATGGTGCATAAAGAAATTTTGTGGGAAAGTCATGATGTCGTGTTACAAGAGTTGGTTGGAATTCACTGAGTAACAGTAACAGGCTTAAAAAATAAAGGTTGGGGTACTTTAATTAATTTAATAGGGGTGCTTCTTGTAGGATTACGCAGGGCTTTTTTCTGTGGAGCTAAACTGTGATTGAGTTCTTTATAAATAGGACAGCCTCTGTGGTTTGCAATGTGATTTCCACCGCAGTTACTACATTTTTTGGAGTTGATATCCTTTAATACTTTTTTGTCGCATTCAGAATTACGGTGAAGCTCGCCACATGCTACGCACATTGTATGTAGAGTGCAATATGACTTAGTATGGCCATGTTCTTGGTAGTATGTGCATTGCACCAGACTATTTTATTTGTGGGGGTCTTCTATACTAATTCTACAGTGAAGGTCTGTAGATTGTAAATGGGATAGTTCTCATTTTTTTCAAGCTTAGAAGCTTCTGTGTGAAATTCAATTTTAAACTTGGGTTGTGGGATTTTGTCTTTATTAACAATATTTATAACTGCTTTAGCGTTCAAATCTTTTTCGCTTAGGGCGATATTTTAAAGTTATTAACTGTATGTAGCAACCCATTCAAGCTTCGCCCATACATACAATCAATGCTCAAAATAATTGTGAAATGTGTAGTAGAAGATTTAGTTTAGTAGCCAAATTAAATCTGACTAAATGTTTTCTTATACATCCTTAGATAATTGATATAAATTTTTGAAAAATTATATTAGTTCTGAGTGATTAAAGAAGTAGAATTAATTACAAAGTGTGAATATAGTCTTAATTTTTTATCTTATATGGTAGTTTTAATCTTATCATATCAAAATTTAAAAATATTTACAGATATTACAAAGAGAAAGAAAATACCATAAGGTACGAACTGGAATTGTGTCCTGACTGCTATATAAGCGAAAGAAACTTTTCATTGTTTCACGTTTAGTGAAATAAAAAAAAGTCAGAATATACGTATAATCTTAAGAATTTAAAATGAAAATTTAACAAAGAATTTATTTCGAAAGTCATACTGAAGTGGTTTGAACTTTGAACTTTCAAATATTATGCCTCATATCGTTGGGAACAAAGATCTTCATTACAGTTATCCACTTCATGTAAAGAATAGAATTTTTATGTTCTTTATAAAGTCACGCCTAAAATATATGCTTCAGACCATTACGATATTTTAGATTCACACAACTATAGGAATACGATTTACGAGGGCGGTTTGATAAGTCAGTGACTTTTTGAATTTCCCGTGCAGTTACCGCAAATGAAACAGTGGTGCCGTCAGCTGTAATCTAAAAATCTAATCTAAAAACTTTGTAATTTTAAGCAAGCTACGTTGTTCAGTTGGTGTTTGATAGCCGTTCAAGGCAGACAATCTCGAGAATTTTCACAAAAATGGAAAAAAGTGAAGTTCGTGTGCTGATTAAGCATTCGTGACCAAAATCCACGAATTGGGATACGAACTGCTACGCCATCCAGCATATTCTCCAGATTTAGCACCCTGCGAATATTTTCTGTTTCCAAAGAAATGGCTGGGTGGTGAGAAATTTGAGTCGAATGAAGAAGTCATTACAGAAACAAATAAGGAGAGAATAAGAAAATTAGAAAAACGCTGGACTAAATGTATCGAGCTAAAAGGTGATTATGTAGAAAAATAAAATGTTTATTTGCCGAAAAAAAATTTGTTTTATTCAAAAAGTCACTGACTTATCAAATCGCCCTAGTACATTATTTGTGACAGTAGTTGCATTTAAATAAATTCAATTGCATTGCTTTAGATTTAACATTAAAATGTTTGAATGTCAAGTTAAAATTTATAAAAGTGAATATTTTTAAAAAGATCTTTTATTATTTATTAAATTATTAAAAGCAGTGTCCTTGCCTTGTAAGCTTAATTTATTAAATTGTTAGTATAATACTATGTAGATATAAAGATATAACAAAGCTAATTAAACGTAGTAATGATTATATAAATGTGGATTCCCATCTTATAATCAGAAATCATATATTTTACCACGAGTAACAGGTGGCATTTTTTAACTCATAGGAATCGATGAATCTCTCACCGCTTTGAAATTTTATTTACATTATATAAATTAGC